CGCCAATACCATCATGCTGATTGTCACCATGGCTTGGCCGAATTTCAAAGAGCAGTACTACATGTTGAGAGAATGGTTTGAGTCATTTCAACTAGCGCAATAAATTTTTTGTGCGTTCAACTAAAAAATTATTTGAAACAGAATATTTAAATTAATCTTGCAAAAATTTATTAATACATATATATATAATCAAAAAGTTAATATATACTATACATATATACATATATAACCACTACATACATATATTCAAGCTAACAGCAAATATAAAGCAAATATATATATATATATATAAAAATATCAAGTATTTATCCATAGTTATTAAGTGACAAAAAAAAAAAAGAAGAGACCAAAAAATGGTTGGACCCTTTATGCAAGGCGTACTATTGATGGGCATCATCTATTGGTACTCCAAGGGTATGCTCTCTTTAATCAACGACTATTATCGCAGCGAAATCCAGCGTAAAATCCTAACTGGCGAACCCTTAAATGAATCGAGCGATTTCATCCATGTCGATCAAATAGTCGAACATCGTTTGGGCCAGATCAAAGCGATGGAGGAGCAGCAACAGCCAAGACTCGACAAAGCAAAGCCACCAATGATAGATCGAAGAGTTTCTGGTAAGGAAGGAAGCCAAACGAAAAGGCAACGAAATACCAATAAGGACGAATTGAATTTATTTATTTGTAGAGGCGAAAAGCGCCTGCTGCAATTCTACCGACTAGTGGAACAAACATTAAATATTTGTTTGTTAAATGAGCGAATGAGCTAACTGCGGCAAAATGAGGTTACCACGGTATTAAAGAATATATCAAAGAATTTACATTCATATACATAAATACAACATTCCCAAAATGACATGTGGCTATTGAAATACAAACGCAAGTACATATATAAATCATACATTCAATGAACAATAATCAATATGATGAATTATAATCCACTATAATGAATATCCAAATTATCTATCTATGTATGTATCCATATATATATAATCACAAATAATCGTATGCGCTGAATATACATATATCTACTTACTCAACTATATACTATACTCTCAAATATTTAATCAAACTATTAAACGCAATCACATACATTTATGTTGAAATGTTGCAAAGGTATACTACTTAAATACATATATATAAAAAAAAGAAAAGTTCAGTTATATGCTTATGCTTCTTATCTAATACACATATATATATATGCCGAGTGAAACTAACGGAATAAAAACAATCCTGCTGAGAAAAACATGTTTTAAACGGACATTGTACAACTAAAAGATAACATAAAGGGCAGAAATTCAATGAAAGGTATTTGACAACAAATCACCAAATTATCTATATGAAAACTATACATACTTATATAACCAATAAATAATGGAATAAATAAAGTTAATAAATTAATAAAATATGTATACGTAGTTTAAGTCTGTCAGCTTGGTATGAGTATCAACTAAAATTTGAAAAAGCAGCTTGAATAAAAATTCATATACTTATCCTGTGTATCGATCTACGGAAAAAAAAAATTGTGTCGTTCTTATCCGTTATATTAATTTATTATAGAATGTACCATATTTCTAACTATTAAGTACTTAGTACAAGGGCAGTTTAATAAGTCAGTGACTTTTTGAATTTTCAGTAAAGTAATTTNGAAAAGTTCAGTTATATGCTTATGCTTCTTATCTAATACACATATATATATATATTATGCCGAGTGAAACTAACGGAAAAAAAACAATCCTGCTGAGAAAAACATGTTTTAAACGGACATTGTACAACTAAAAGATAACATAAAGGGCAGAAATTCAATGAAAGGTATTTGACAACAAATCACCAAATTATCTATATGAAAACTATACATACTTATATAACCGATAAATAATGGAATAAATAAAGTTAATAAATTAATCAAATATGTATACGTAGTTTAAGTCTGTCAGCTTGGTATGAGTATCAACTAAAATTTGAAAAAGCAGCTTGAATAAAAATTCATATACTTATCCTGTGTATCGATCTACGGAAAAAAAAAATTTTGTCGTTCTTATCCGTTATATTAATTTATTATAGAGTGTACCATATTTCTAACTATTAAGTACTTAGTACGAGGGCAGTTTAATAAGTCAGTGACTTTTTGAATTTTCAGTAAAGTAATTTTAAATGCAATACTGCTGCTGTCAACTATCAGCTGTTGACAGGCTACTGTCAACGTTTTTAGCAAGCTATATGATTTAGTTTGTGCTTGATAGCCATAGACAAACGCGTGAATTTCGACTTCGTTCGTAAAAAATCAAGAATTTTCGGATTGTAGAGAAAAAAGTACCAGTTTTTTTTGCCGTTTTTCTGGATCAAGTCATTTATGGTTTCTATGGGAAAAAGAGTCCTTAACAACCCCTATGCCATATCGGTCAATAAAATATTGTCTTGTGATTTTTAAAATTTTTTTTAAATCTCGTATTCAAGGGATTTTGAAGGTGCTGATAATGAGTGACATCAGTTTTCAAAAGTTCAAAATGGCGAACCCAATAAGGCGGTTGGATTTTTCAATAATTGTCAGATTTTTATTAAATTTGATATCAAAAAGTTCTTTGAGATTTTTATGAAATTTGATATCATATCTATGAGCCATTGTGTACAAAACTGAAATCACTTTTCGAAAATTAAATATGGCGGATCCAATATGGCAGAAACAGTGGAGGANGGTAAAAAATCAAGAATTTTCGGATTGTAGAGAAAAAAGTACCAGTTTTTTTTTTGCCGTTTTTCTAGATCAAGTCATTTATGGTTTCTATGGGAAAAAGAGTCCTTAACAACCCCTATGCCATATCGGTCAATAAAATATTGTCTTGTGATTTTTTAAATTTTTTTTAAATCTCGTATTCAAGGGATTTTGAAGGTGCTGATTATGAGTGAAATCAGTTTTCAAAAGTTCAAATGGCGAACCCATTAAGGCGGTTGGATTTTTCAATAATTGTCAGATTTTTATTAAATTTGATATCAAAAAGTTCTTTGAGATTTTTATGAAATTTGATATCATATCTATAAGCCATTGTGTACAAAACTGAAATCAGTTTTCGAAAATTAAATATGGCGGATCCAATATGGCAGAAACAGTGGAGGATAATTACAAAACTAAAAGCAAAATTGAAAAATTCAAAACAGGTATGTGATTAGTTTTTTGTTTAAGTTTATATATATTCTGTGACTACTCCTATACTTAAACATTAAGAACGACGGTCTTAAAAAATTAAGCATTTGTACAATACTTTTGACACAATTTCGAGAGCCAATATTTATGAGACCTGATTGCGTTAAAATCTAGCAATTCGTAATAAGCGACCGCAAAACAGCCACAGTAAAGACAAATTTTTTAATTAAAAACTTTATAAATATACTAGACTACCCTCAACCGCTTCGCTGAGTGTACATATGAAATTCCTGCGTGCAAAATTAGACGTAATTTATTTCAATATAACCCAACATAAGTACTTAACATCAGCCAATAACAAAAAAAAAATCAAATAATTTTTTTTCAAAATACTATGTATGTACTTATGTACTTACATAAATACTTTCAAACTGAAAATTCTTTAAAAATATTTCTTTGTGATAAATTTTTACTTGAATTATTCTCTGAATTCCAGCCTGATTTGAGTTTTCAAACAGATTGCCACCCTCCTACATCTAGTTTAGAAATAAAGCCTTTTCAAAACCATACCGATATTGTAATAATTCCCTTAATTTAATAAACAATTTTATTTGAATTTAGTATTAAGAGAGTTGGCGACCCTTTTGAAATTCTACAAGTTCAAATTAAAAATGTCTAAACACTCTGGCGTTTGCTACTTTTACTGGTGTATTATTTTAATAAATTCGACTTTTCAAACAGATGTCAACTCTTATTAAACCTCTTTCATCTTAAACACATTTTGTAATACATATTCCAATTACGTAATTCCGTGAATTCACGTAAAAAAATTATTTTCAAATAGGTGGCAACCTCTTCAACCCCATTTATATTGATACTAAGAATGTTAATCCCGGGATCCGCGCACAATATCAGTCCTTGATGGGTTCTGCGTGGAGAAAGAGCTAGCTGGTGCCGGGCTAGTCACGCTGTGATCACTGATATCAGGGATGTATTTGAAACCTCCGGGAAAACTAGAGTGCTCAAACCCCGTGTCAGTCAAGCAACTAGTGCTTCTAAGACTGCCTGACGCTCTTGCTGCAGCTGCTTTAGCTGCGGTATCGAAAGGCGCTATGTTAAGCATGACGTTAGGTTGTCCTAAGTGCCCACTAATTCCAACAAGGGCAGCTCGTTACAGTCGCTTCAGCCTACTGCCTAGTGCAGCCTTCTCCACTGCATTCCGCCAGACAGAAAGTCTGAAAAGCGCCGAATGCCCCAAAAGCTTGGAGCGGCGTTCTACTCTTACTACTACTTACGAGAGATTTCAAGGCCAGTGGGGAGGTGCTGTAATCAGTTAGCAACAATTTTTGGATCGCCATCGCAATTTGCCAACGTGTGTTATGAGTGTCGACAGGTTGCGATAGCGTTACGAGAATTGTTTCTAATTGGTTACAGAATATTCCTACAGCGCGAGGACAACAATGAAGACGAGTGTGCACTGTACCTTTTTAGATTGTGACACGACGACGACGCGGACTCTGTTGGAAGAAAATTCGGAGAAGTTCTAAATGAGATTCAAATGTTTCCTTTTACACCGAAAAGCCTCAGAACATGGCTGGTTATAAAACAGTCTACATGGCAACCCTAAAACTTCGGACTCACCTGGCGTTGCCCAATCACATCCACTCTTTGTCATGGCAACAACAAATTGTTTGAAATTAATAAGCTAATTGAAGTAAGAAACTTCATTATTATTCAGCAACTCAACGGAAGCGGTTTAATATTTATTCTTTAAACTGAAAATTCATTTTAACTTAAGTTTATTAATAAACGATTTTGGTTTAAATAAAGCATAATTAAAATAGTTTGAACTCTTCAACCAATTAAATACATACATACAATCGAAATGGCCAACATACCCGCATGGCAGTCTTGGTAATTTGAAATGCATTGGATTTTGCTGATTTTCTTGCAGATCGGTATGTCTGTTCTACTTATTTCCCTTCCGCTTTTCCCCCAGCTTGTGGGCCACTTATGCTCGCCCGAATACGCTGGTAAGCATTGGCATGGAAGCGTTGGCTATGTTGCATGATCATACTATACATTTTACGGATTTGAAAACTCAACATAAACTTTATTATAACGTCGATAATCCGATTGTTGGATTGGGTGCACGAAATCTTGCCGGACACTTTTCGCTGCCAATGTTTGCCTACTCAGAGACTGTTATACGGCCAAATATACACATCGTTCGCTATCCGGATATGCATAAGCTGTTTGTATTGCAGAGTAAGTATTGGAAAGCGTACATAAAATAATGTAAAGATTTTAGATTTCCACCAAAGGCTTAACTGCAGTTAAGAGCTTAGAGAAGTTGCAATAATTTTAAAATGGGGTGGTCGGCAAGGTTTTTCCTTTAAGTTTTGCTTTTTTTCTTTCGTTTGTTTCAAATTAATAGATGGAATTTCCCCCCTTCGAGTTGTAATCTCCTTTTTCCAATAGGCATAAACTGCAGTTAAGGCTTGGTGGAAATCAACTATAATTATGCATTAATGTAGAAGACGGTGCCTCGAGTGAGTCGGTCTGACCGAGTGGTACAATTACCAGAAATGAATTAAAGTGTTTTAAGCTTTTGAAATAGCTATTTCCAGGGCTGTGATTATTTAAGGTACCTACGTTGCCTTAGATGAGTGGCTTCAGAAAGGCTGGCCCAGCGAAAAAGAAGTCTGGTCCCGGCGAAAGTTTCGACGGTTCCATTTTATGGAAGGTCCAGTTTATGGAGCATAGATCAGTGATAATTGCTACAATTCTCAAAATGTTTTGTGGAAGCTTTAGCTAATCCATTGTGCTTAATCACGTTTTTTGTTATAACTTTCTTATTTGATATCCAATTACCAAAATTTTTATATCAGCGAAAAGGTTCCGCTATAATTTGCCATTAAAAAGTTTTGGAAATACTATCCTTAGATTTTTATTTTTATTTAGTAAAGGTTTAAATCAAAACGGGTTTTAAAACCGAAATTGATTAAAGGCTAATTATAGTCCTGAGCGAGGCGTTTTCGGTGACATAAAGATTTAAAAAATCGCATGTCAAGTAAGAAAGTTATAGCAAAAAACGCGATTAAGCGGTTTTTAGCGGATGCCTAAAAAAAATTTTACACCCAAAATTTTTTCTCAAAATAAATATGTTCAAAGGTTGAGAGATTACCCAATAAGGCTTAAAAGAATTTAACAATAACTACTATATCAAAAAATTACTTTTATTATTTATATATAAATTACTTTTAATATTTTAGGATTTTGAAGAAATTCCCAACATAAGAAATTTTGTTTTTATAAAGTTTTTTAAATAAATAAATAACTACTTTGTAAAGACACACAAATTTTAGATGGAAATGGAGTGGATTGGAATTGTGGGCTCCCGGAATTTATTCCAAGCACTCGGGCCGTATTGCCCAATGTACTTAAGGCAAAGATACAGGATTTAGAGGAAGAAACTGAAACTTATCATTTTAGAGGGCTTTTAGTTCAATAATCTCCCTTCCAATTCTAACAGTAATATTGTCTTAGCTTTCCATCTACAGTTTGGTGTACTGATTTCCTCACTCAAGGTCATTATATCAGAGTAAAACGGATTAAATACAAGATCTCGTTTTACCTTTCTTATTATTAACCTTTCAGTTTAGTTTAGTACCCAAATCTCTTTGACGTCGTTGGGCATAGTACATAGTGCTTCCGGTGTCTGACTGGCCTTGTTGTTGGTCGCTGTGGTCTGCCCAGAAAAAAAGGCTATTTAATGTCACTGTGAGGATCTTAGGTTGGTTATCTGTAGGTAATTTTACACCCTCGATTTCTACGTCGAGTTCAAGGCTAATGCCCTTGGTCAACGTGATGAAAATGGTGGCGGTGGATTTTGCTGCATATGTTAACATTGAGGGTGAATGTAAAGTCAGGGTCGATCAATCTTAAATTGATCCTATTGCCGAGTGATATGCCAGTATTTTTGCGGGCGGGTGATATAAATAATGCTTTTGATCAGTACGTTACTGGAGAATTAGTAACAATCATACTAGCATTAGAAGATCATATTTTAAGCCTCATGCTTGCTTAAAAAGCTCACTTGACGTTCGAGGAGACCTTTGATATGTTTAGGAAGGATTTTCGAATTTTACATCCTTGTGAAAATATACCCGTGGACCGAAAAAGCTTATTGCGATGGCAAAGAGTAGAGATTTCCTAAACCTTACCCGGGACCCCCTTCTAATAGACTTTACTTTTAGATGTTCCCGACTGGGAAGAAGCATGATGCACTTCGGAATTAATTTCTATCATGCCTTTTCAAATTGGGAAGACATGTGGAGACAGAAACGAATATTAGATATTCTGCTAAGCAATAGATCGCATTGCCAAGTGCATCTGCATGTAATAACAAAAATCCCACGAAAATCTTTGACTTTCAGAGTCGGAAATCTCCGCCTTCCTTCATTTGTGTGTGGTAACATGAATATGCACACCAATACCCAAGGATAAGCTCGGCCAATCTTGGCTCACATGTGGTATTCAATTGTCGATTTTCAATACAAAAATTGAAAGAAAACTAACTAACTTCGGACTCATTTTTAGAATTATAAATCCGCCGCGTTCTAATGTCGTTTTCGTTTCTACCGAAAAAGGTTTACCTTCTCATTTGTCTATTCTAATAATTCTTCCTTTCCTTTAAGTTAAGTTTTATTTTTCCTCCTGGCAGGTAATAATGTCGTCAGCTATGTGGACTTGCTATTCTCCAATCATGATTTACTCATCGCTCTAAGCGGTTTTCCTGATTACTCATTTCGCATATGGAACTGCCGTACAGGCAATCTCTTAGTTGAAGTACAAACAGGCATGAAATGCTCACCTTACTCCTTGCAATGCTCCAGCCGCACTTGGCCCATGATTATGCAATACTCAAAGTTTGTGAAAGAAATCGTCTTCTGGGAGATACATTACACTGCAGAGGCGACAAAATTGCATGAAATATCGCGCGTGCAATTACAAAAGGGCCACTCGCTGAGCACACAATTCGCCATGTGTTTCCTGGACGATGTAATGTATGTGGTCAACGATTACGGTGTGGTATTCAGTGTAAGTACTCGCGCTCTAGACAACCACCAATACCAGCGCGAGAGAAATCGAATCATAATTATTTTTTTTTTTTATTCGTTCACCTGCAGGTAGAAGTTGCGCAATTCTACTTGCTACGCCAGTGGGGCACTTCTTTCACGCAGAAGGCCAACCGCAAGCGTACAACTTATATCCGCACAAGCATGGCTCATGGTGGTCAATCGGGAATCCGTCACGTTCATAACACGCAAGCGCATCTGTGGACCGTTGAGTGGGTGATGCAGGAAATGAGTGTGTCCGTTAAGAAGATGGCGTCGAATTTCGCCGGAGAAGCCTTTGTTGCCAATGATGTAGGCACATTGTATCAATTGCAAGTTGATCAATATGTTGGCAAACTAAACGAATTCTCGGTATCGAATTATACCGTGGAAGAGTTTTCCCACTTGCAGGGTTTGAAGGAGGAGAATTTGCTTATACTGACACGTGACGGCATGGTGTTCGTCGTCGAGCCAGCACGCAACACTAAATACGCAGAGTTGCATGTACCGCAGGGCTGCTGTATTGGCGCGCACAACTCTATGCCGTATGCCGCTGTAGGCACCGCAGATGGCAAGTTGTACTTTCTATGTTTCGAGAAGATACGCGCACCCACTATTATGCACATATGGAGGTGGAGAAGAGCGTATAACCGGATAAGTTTGATGAATCAATCGGGGCTGATTAAGAATGCACATAACGCCTACAAGGAACTATTGGTGGATTTCAAGGGTGAACGTTTTATACTACTCACCCCCCTATTGAGTCGTCCAGATGTACGGTTGCTCAATTTCTATTTGATCGAAACTGATTTTGCCATATCGTTTTTAACTGACGAGGATGGCAACAAAGCTATTATTCCGTATGCGGATGAAATGTGGGTCTCTACGTGCAGTCAGGCTGAACGCCTTGTAATGCGCAAAATATTTAAGTTGCCGAAGAAATATCGTGCCATTACACTAATGCAAGTTGCCAACAGAGACAATGTGGAATTTATCGGATTGCCAATGGATAGTTTAGATTTGGATTTATATGCTATAAAGAATGGCGAGCAAATTTTCTTAATGCGCACTTTGCGCACAACACATATGGACCATATTTCGGGTGTGACAGGTTCACGTAATGTCATTTCCTACGGCATCAGTACGCTGATGATACACTTTCGCTTGCATAAGCGTTCAGCGAAATCATTTACAGTATGCCGGAAATTGTATGCGAGTTATGCGCAACGATTGATACGACATGTGCAGGAGATCTACAATAGCAAGTGAGTTAAGGTGTTGAATTATTTCTTCATTAAATTTTTTTATGTCCGGCTTCTAAAAAGGTGGCAACTTTTCCAAAAGATTGCTTAGTAAAGCTTTCTTAAACATTTTGCATTTAGTACCAATCTTGTAATATTTCATTTAATTTCAATATATTTAGTATTTACTATTTTGATAGTTGAAATATCTACTTCTAATTCTAATTAAAATATTTCTCAAATATCTCTTGTTTGACACCCGTATTGTTTCGTTTAATATATCTTGTAAATTTATATTTAAAAGTAGGTGGCAACCCTCCTCAAAAATAATCTCGACTGTACAATTTCTTAAATCTTTGTAGTTTGATACCCTTATTATAATATTTAATTTAGCTTATGAATTTGGTTAAATAATATTTTTCAAACAGGTGGCAGCCCTCCTCTAAAATATTTTGGGCTGAAAACACTCTTAAACCTATGTAGTTTGATACCAATATTGTAATATTTAATTTCGTTAAAAAAAAAATTTAACAGGTGGCAACCCTCCTGGAAAATATTTCTGGCTGTAAGCCTCTCTAGTTTGATGCCCATAACGCAAAATGTATTTAATTTATGTTATTAATTTAGGTAGGTATGTAGGTAGGTGTGGCTGTCACTGCTACGCTGGGACACACGTAGCCCACGAGTTAAGGCCCATTGTGATACCACAACTAAAAGTCTTTACTCCCCCTTGCGGAACCACTTTGAATCCTTGACGAAGCTCGTCCTAATTTGTCAAGGTCACTAAAGAAAGGACACCCCAGAAAGCGCAATCTGCTCCTCGATAATGCCGAACAGTTACAGAGAATGCGGAGAACTGTTTCCTCCTCCTGATCCTTTTTGCCACTTTCGCAGCATCTAAAGTAAGACATTCCGAGCCGTTATGCGTGTTTACCCACTGCCTTAGTGGCCTGTTAAAGCACTAATTGTGTGAGATACATACATCCTACCTCTATAAAGAATATACGCTTTGAGACCTTTTTCGATTCCAGATGGGCCAAGTTGGCCTAGTATATGGACTGCTGCTGCTTATTGGAGGCAGAGCCCGTTATGATCCTCTCCATCTGTAAACTCAGTGAAGTGGTTCAAGCATACATAAAACAAACTTTAGACGGCTACCTAGATTTCCAGACAATATTCATACGAAGTCTGTCAATATCTCTGAAAGCTTCCAACCTTCGAATGCAGTCATACTTATCCAAGATTGTCGAATTCTCTCAAGGCCAGATTTATTCAAGTATTGAAATCCCTAAATAATTCTAATCACCAATTAGGTTTCGTAAAAGTTTATGTCATGTCCAAATGATAAAACTAGGTGGATTGGCTCTCCTGGTTTAGTGAATGGCGGAAGAATAGGATCCTATTCGGGACATCATTTACGAATCTGCGAGATTAGATGAGCCAAATTTTTGTAGTGCTCCAAAAAGCGGTTTTCCGCTGGTTTGGAAATTCTCTCTGCACTTATAAAGTATTAGCTGATATGCTAATATTATTTTTCGAATAGTAAAAGATTTAGTTTTAACGAAATCTCTTCACTTGTCTTTAACAGATATTTGGTAGTTCTACTTGAATCGGGTTGTTTAAAGGTTTCCCGCCTGCTCTCGCTAAGCGATAATCTACGAGAAAACGTCGATATACTTGACGAACCAATTCAGTTGGAATTAGTGGAAATGCAGGCTACACCTAACTTTGCGTCGATTGCGAAGAAATCGATTTCGGGACAGAGTCTTGAACTGCGCGCTGCTATTGACGCGCGCCTAGCTGAGTTGGAGAACGAAGTGCGTGCGCTCATCGATTACGACATTGCAGTGACGGGCAAAACACAAGGAATATATCGTAAATTTTGTCTAAACTACAGTTGGTTGAATCAATTGAATGCAGAGGCGCGTAAAGTATGCGACATCGAGCGTCAGTCGCTGATGGAGAGTATTGCGGATAAGAGTCGCATACGCGATTGGATACTGAATTTGATAACAGCTAATACGGCTAAGATAGGCATTAAGCTGCGTGCCATATTTTCCGACAATGCGTTTGAGAATTATTCGCTAAGCAAGGCAGTGAATGAATTGGCTGCGCTTTTTGATTTGTATCGCTTTCAAGATTTCGGAGCGATTGAAGAGGATGATGTGACCGAAGAAAATGCGCCGCAAAAAGATGGCGTGGATGATGAAGAAGCTAGTGATGTTGATGATAGTAATGCAGCGAAGAAAAAGCGTAAGCTATATCAATTTGTGGGAAGTGTGTATGAGCATATAATGGCCGAGGACTTTCAAATGCAAGACATACATTTGGTCACGGCAAATCAAATGTACAACGAGGATATTAAATTTAAGGTAAAGTAAAATGTGGCCGGATACAAATTTCTAGTTTTTTAACACCTCTCCTTTTATTACAGGTTCTCTTAGATGGCCCTTTGCGCGAGGAGTTCAATAAAATATTTGATCAAGTACAACAATACAAGCAAGAAATTATGAGTAATATAATAGGTACAAATGCATCCTTGAATCATATCTACGAAGACATGAACATTATACTGAGCCTGCTGGGATTACAAACTTTTACACCGGAGAAACTTTCAGTACCGACGCTGATGAACGATGAAGTGTTGGAGCGCATTATGACCGTAAGCTAAATTTTTGTAGTTAATATTTTTAGTATGGTTAAATTTTTTCTCCCCATTCCATCTCAATGCCTACCTTTTCTTATTTCTCTATCTCTATCTCTATCTCTATCTCTATCTCTATCTCTATCTCTATCTCTATCTCTATCTCTATCTCTATCTCTATCTCTATCTCTATCTCTATCTCTATCTCTATCTCTATC